TAACAAATCATTCTCAATCATTTTAAGACTTTGAGTGTTGGTACGGCCGGGGCTCGAACCCTCGACCTCCCGCACAACAGTCCAGCGCTCTATCCATTGAGCTAACTGGAGGCGGTTTGCAACTTGTCTGATGTGGAAAAGGACAAAACCTAAAAAATACTGACGACAAAATTCTTAAAAACAAGAAGGTAATCATAAAAATAGCTGATCTAAAGTTATATTGATTGTATTAACTCTGGATTAATCGTTTGCTTAAAACTAAGCTTTTATATTTTAAAGAACTTTAACTAGTTAACGTTTTTAGATTTTATTCCTAATCAAATTCAGGTCGACTAGCTAGAATCCTAGACTTTCCTGTAAACTCGCACTGCTGCGCGTTATTTTTTATTGGTTCTTTCAGGTAAACTGGAAAAAAGGGGTGATCTGCTCAGAGCATTGGTCGAAAGGATTCAGGTCTTCTCTGGAGGATCTACCTGACAGGTCAACAACTAAGACATATGCTGAATCCAAGGCATCATACATAACACCTCCAAGTAATATTGCCTCTGCCAAAAGATGCTTAATAGATGAGGGTAGAACATTGCAAGAACCCAGAAGGAAATTGCAAAAACTTAATCTTAAAGATCCAAAATATGAATTAATCAGGACAATATCTGGAGAAAACACTGAGCTTAAAAGCGAACTTTTAATTTTGAAGGAGAAGATGAAGGAAAAAGAAAAGAAATGGCTAAGATGGTTAATGGACTAGATGACCTTAAAACTGACCAAATGCAGTGCAAAAACCCCAGTCATTCCAGTTTAAATTTGAAAGATCTCGTTTTACATATGAGCACATTATGAAGAGAGAACAATGCTTCTATATGACTGGACTAACTGATGTTGAGTTTCATTGTTTGTTTGACTGTATCGGGCCATTTCTAAGCTGTTTGGTATACCCAGATTTGAAATCTAGTGATTTGTGCAGCCGAAAAATGGATACCAAAACTGAGCTCATGGCGTTCATGACAATTTTACGACATTCTCTTCACCTCGGAATCATGGAATGGATGACAAACACAAGTATTTCAACCCAGTCAAGGATGTTTGTTGCCTGGTCGGTATTTTTAGTTGAGGTCTTTGAAAGAATTGGATTGACTCGATTACCTGGTGAAGGAGAAGCCTTTATTCCAACTGAGTTTATTAATGCAGGATTCGAGGACACATCTTGTCTTGACGATTGTACAGAGACAAACATCTTGGCATCCGAAAAGTTTGATGCGAATAATATCACATTTAGCCAGTATAAGAACCACACCACTGGAAGGACTGCAGTGTGGGTCACCCCACAGGGATCCCTGTTACAATGCAGTGATACCTATCCAGGAACAATTTCAGACAATGATATCACAGAACAGTGTGTAGTGCTTGATATGGTGAGGAGAGGAAGTGTTGTATTGACTGACAAGGGATTTGGCATCACAGAAATGTGTCTTCAGAAAGGCTTGCATCATAACCGACCACCTTTAAAGTTTGATGCTCAGTATGATGAGTTAGAGATCAGTAAAAACTTTGATATTGCCACCCTGAGAATCTACAATGAAAACTACATAGGGAGAATGAGAGACTGGGCCATTATCAATGCATACTGGCCTTCCAGTAGAATCGATCTTCTGGCTATGTGCACATATTACTTGCACACATTGTAAATATTTTCAAGAGGCCCATTGGACCAAAGGAGACAGAAGGTAAAGCATATAAATAAGCTGTCAACTGAGCAAGTTGCCGAGTCTCAAGTTTTGTTTTATTGAGCCATGCAATATTGATATTGCTGATTAGATACAATCCAGGCTAAATATCAGGAATGTTCTTTTGTTCAGAGAAACTGCTATCAATACCCATGACGATCAAAGAACACGAAATCTAATTTGATAGATTTAACCTTCAACTGAACATCCTGGTAACTTAAAGTGCCACTATGATCAAAATTTCGCATTGCCTTTTCTTTTCACTTCTGGAAACTAGAACTAAGAAACACTTACCATGCCAAGTTTAATTGTAATCCCCTAAGTGATACTATTAAGAGCTATGCAAAGGAATCACAATCTGGATTATGATCTACATGTTTAGTTTACAAATTATACAGTTGAGTACATTTCGCCAAAAATATGTATGTCCTCTATCAACAAAATGACACTCTTTTTATTCCTTTAGCAAGTCCATTAATCCATGACCTAAGAGGGCGAAGTCTTTCAAAAGTTGCAATGCCTCCTAGAAGTTGCTCTCCTAATTTCTTAAGATAGGAGTGTTCATCATAATGCCAATCTGTAAAAATTGTGTTCTGCAGCATGTGATCTGTAATATCTTTGACTACATTTACTAGTAAGTCATTTCTTTTTACATAGAAGAAATGGGAGATGTCTTTCTCCGGCAAATAAGACTGGAAAAATGTGATATCACCATTGGTGCAGGCCATTTGGAAGTTAGTCTGAACTAAGTGAGTCCCTGAAATTCTCTCTAGTGGCATCTCTGAGTTTCCAGCTCTTGTTTTAACTTCAACAGAAAATGCCTCGCCAATGCCATCTGGGCTTGCTCTGTATCGTGGGTCTTGTGTATGCTTAAAGAAGCCACAGCTATAGACTGGGGCACCTAGAATAAAGAAAGGGAAAATCTGACATCATCCCTCCTTCATTTAATTTATGAAAATTTATAATTGACCCCATACCTGATACTTCTGTAAAGTTATCCAATGCTGCTTTTTTATATATTTGTCCCCTCTTAAAATTTTTGAATTTCTTTGGCCGATAAGTGCTTTCATCCAGCTTGTTGTTGATGCAAAACCAAGCTGCATCAAACTCCTTGTAATGTTGGCAACTTGCTTGCAGTAATAACTCCTATCCTGTTTGCAAACCATTCACTTGAACCTTGAACATTTCCCATCCCCCCTGAGTGCCTAACTGCATGTAAAATTTGAAGGGGGGTTGAAAATTTTCATTCCCCAACACGTTTGATTTTTATAGACTCGTTCTTAAAAGATGGCCACGACGATTTAATTTAAGTTCTAAATTAATTGTGTTGGCTAAAAATTTCAACTCTACGATTATTTGAATACGAATTGAGTTCTGAAAATCAGTTACGAAGTCTTGATTTGTATTGTTAGAAAATGTTTCATTGTTTATAGCTGTAGTTCGCTTTACATCCCAGGACATGTGCAAATACACTCGAATGTCAAAATCTAAAAGAGACCCAACGGGCTTAAGGAAAATGTTCGATTTGCACAAATAGATAATCGGTGATTCACTTTTTTCGCCACTCACGTTAAACATTTTTTTTCCGTTCGGGAAACCTTGGAAAGCTACCATTATCCAAGATTGACTCCATCTCTTTTATAAAACCATGTGTTATCAAGCGTAAAAACAACGCTTCTGTTTGCATTATAAGAAATCATATCATTTGAAATGTATTAATCATTTTGGGAATAGTTAAGTTGCACTCAACGTGTGTTTTTACTTTCTTTCTCTCAAATCTGGGTTTAGTTCAGCGATTCAAGTTACGAAATATTGCGTGGAAGAATTAGCCGAGTTGAACACATTGCTACGACGCAAACCGCCTCCCGGTTAGCTCAATGGATAGAGCGCTGGACTGTTGTGCGGGAGGTCGAGGGTTCGAGCCCCGGCCGGACCAACACTCAAAGTCTTGAAATAATTGAGAAGAATTTGCTACCTAA